ATATAAATAATTATTATTGTAAAATATGATGAAATCTGTGCCAAAGGAAAACCTATTGCATCATTATTAGTTTCAAAAACAGATAGATTATGTATATTGAATTTAGTTCTTTGTATCGAGAATATTTATTTTTGTTTTCTCAAAATACTTGTTCGAATCTAATATAACTATAACTCCTCAAAAATAGTTAGATTCCAAGTTTTGGGACATAATTGAATATAAATCTTTATTAATACATAAGTGTTTGCACATAAATGTTATGCATATGAAAATATTACTCCTAAATTTGCCACTGACTCACTAGGTCAAATCATATTTTTTCTGGCAGCATCTCTGACTCAAAGAACAGCATTTCCGCAAATATTGAGATGATCTTTAGCCTTTCATAAGACTTCGAAACCTGGCTATAGTTCAGGCAAGCTGTTGTTAATATGGTTTTATGATTTGAATGTATTATTTAGCTTACAGATACAGATAATCAGAGTTGGAAGGGACCTTGTGGGTCATCTAGTCCAACCCGCCACCCAAGCAGGAGACCCTATACCATTTCTGGCAAATGGCAGTCCAATCTCTTCTTGAAAGTCTCAAGTGATGATGCTCCCACAACTTCCAAAGGCAAGCTGTTCCATTGGTTGATTGTACTCACAATTGGAGAACTTGGGAGTCATGAGCTATGGACTGGTTTTTAATTTTTATATCTGATAGAATCAATAGCATAAAGATAGGCATCCATAAAGTTATTTAAATAGATACATACATTTTAGTATTAGCATTAGATCCTCCCATGCTGTTTTGCATATTGAGTAGCAACGTATCTCCAGACTTTTTGATTTTGGGTGAGTACTTCAGTGGCTTCCCATGTGGTATTTAGAGTCTTTAAGTCTTCCATGAACATTCTCTGCCATGCATTTCGAGGTTTTCCTCTTGGTTTTTTGATATCAGTGGGTGTCATTTTGGGAATTCAATTGTTCCATATGGAGGTTATGATGTCAACTTGGAACACATCTTCATTAGTAATATGATCAAAATAGTGAATCTCTAGGATACATGCATACATACACAATTATAGTGGAAGCTAAAATATTGTTCATGAAGAGAAAGAGCTAGCTGGCTAGATGAATAATTAATAAATAAATACATATAAATAAATAAATTCAGGGGACAGAAGATCGAGAACCTCTCATCTTTGTATCATTGGTACAAATACTGAAACCTTTGACACTTTCTCCAAATGATAACAGCTGCCTCACAGAATCCTCACAGGTTTTCTCTTATCAAATTTACTTGATGCCCACCAGAGATAAATCTCTTTGGCTTCACTGATTATTTCTAAAAATGTCTGAAAAACACGAAATCTGGCTTTGTGACTTAAGTGCATGATCTTTTGGCAGTGCTCTGAACTAGATATATTTTCATCTATGATATCAATGTATAGAGAATTAACTTTATCTCACGTGCCAGTAAAGCTAATCCTCCCAGCAGCTGTTACCACTCAAATTCAAAATGAATATGATTTTAATTTACCTCGATCTAACCTAATAAATTCTATTGTTTTCCTAAGCACTTCTGTGAATTAAAGGGTTGACATATAAGCACACATATAGGACTGGAGTGGCTTTTAGGCATGTAGCCAAATATCTTCCCAATTCACTAATAGGGGATATAACACTCCCTCTAGAAAAGCCTTTGACCAAATGATAAAAATCAAACTGTTCCCTATTTCTCTTATAAACTTTTTAAAATCTCCCAGACTTGTCAAAAAGGCCTCCGCAGGGCCCGTGAATGTGATCCCGTAGCAAAAATAATGTGCAATTTGCCTCCTATCATCTCTGATTACTAATTTATAACACTACTCCAAATCCTTCAAAAGAAGGTGTAACAGATGCACGTATAAAGCATCTCAAAATCACCAGAGCACTTACAACATTCTTCAGAGTCACAAGGTGACTTTTTAAGTTACAAATGGCTCTTTTCACACACATACTTAATACTTCTCTGGGTTGCACCTATCTGAAAAACAGCACAGGTACTTCACTCAGGGACTGCTCAAAGTTATAATGGCACTCAAAAAAGTGATTTATGACTGTTGCAGCGTCCGCATGGTCCTGTGATTTACATTTGGATGCTTGACAACTGACTCATATTTATGACGGTTGCAGTGTCCTGAGCTTAAGTGATCCCCTTTTGTGACCTTCTAACAAGTAATGGGGAAACCGGATTCACTTAACAACCGTGTTACTATAACAACTGCAGGGATTCACTTAACAAATGTGGCAAGAAAATCTGTAAAATGGGCAAAGCTCACTTAACAAACTTTTCACTTAGCAGCAGAAATTTTGGGCTCAACTGTGGTCGTAAGTGGAGGACTGCTTACATACATACTATATATATAGTATTGATTATATAATGTACATATATATAGTATATAATTTGTATAAATGTATAATATATATATAAAACTGTTACAGAAAACTGTTTAATAACAGAAAACTGTTATAACAAATAATATAAAACTACTTCTATAGTGATTTACATTACAAACAATTTATTTAATGGTTGTTAAATCCTTTCCTAATGGCTTATTAACAAGTCCATGAAAGGATTTTAATGTGATCCAATATGTTTTTGTGAATTCAAAGAAGAATGAAGTCTTGAATTTCCCTTTACTGGTTAATGATACATTGTATCTGAAATTCATAATTGTTCTTTTTTTGTTTCCTTAAATTATTTCCACTTCTGACTTCTACATAGTGATCGCAACATCTAAAATGTGTATAGCTTTACATAGGTAAGTTGTCTAATTTGCTTGAAAATCAGCAGGATTATCAAGTATTGTGCATTTCTAAATCAAAAGTAATCAGAAAGCAGAAATTAATACATACGTAAAAATAACTTGTAAAAATATTACTGTATTTTTTTATGAAATGCAAATTATTTTGTTATATTTTTAATAACTGAATGAATCATAGAAAGAAAGCATTATTGGTCATGTTGTTCTGGAGAGTGATGGAGGAACATATAAGCAAAATTATAAATAATTCAGAATCATAACAGGCATCCTCATATTCTCAGAATTGAGAGTCACAGGCACTTTTATTTAATTTATTACTGCAGAGAAACCATTCTTTCATGGCCCAAATCAGAAACTACTAATCCTGCTCTGATACAGTCTTGTGGCAATCTATGCAGGATAAGACAGAAGCTTAAAGTTTCTAGAACATTAATTTCCAATTTTTTCATAGTAAAAAATATTTGTGAATACATCCATAATATATGCATGTTTACTTCTAATTTAAATATATGTGCTATTCAATTAACATATTATGTACCACATAAAATATATCCCAACATAGAAACTAAAACATGATGAAATAAAGGTAAAATAAACAACATTGTGATATTTTCTTCCAGCATCCCAATGGATTGTCAGGGTGCAAACACACAACTTTGGAGACCACAGCTCTAGTGAAAAGATAATTGCTTGCTTAATTCCTAAAAATAATATAAACTATTGAAAAGTTATTCAAATGTAAATTCAATTGGTTCACTGGTGAGATTCAAATTTTTTTTTACTACCGGTTCTGAGGGTGTGGCTTGGTGGTGTGGTATGGCTTGGTGGGTGTGGCAAGGTGGGTGTGGCAGAGGAAGGATACTGCAAAATCTCCATTCCCACCCCACTCCGGGGGTTATCACCGGTTCTCCGAACTACTCAAAATTTCCACTACCGGTTCTCCAGAACTGGTCAGAACCTGCTGAATACCACCTCTGAATTGGTTCCTTTATTAGTTCCTTCCTCCAACATAGGAAGGCTATCTTAGTCTATAGTAGTGCAAAAATCAAGAGTGTGTTAGCATCTTCTCCAGATACTAAAATTTAATTGAAAGGCATAAAACTTGAAAACTCATGCCTTTTAATAAAATGCATTAGTTGGAAAAGATGCTACCAAATTCCTGATCTTTGTCGTAAAAACAAGAGAATTGCCACAGCATTATTACATAATATTTTCTAGCAATATCATCCATGAGCCTGTGTGGGTAGGAATTCTTATGGCCTTGTTCAAGCAGTTTATAACAACCTCCTTTGAGAACATAACAGAATCCTAACAAGATTTTTATGCATTATGCAAATGTCATTGTAAAAGTGTATGCTTTTAAACTAATGCAGCTTTTCAGGAATAAGATTTAAATTGCTAATTTAAATTAGATTACAGAACATACATACACAGACTAACTCACATTTCATGGCAATTGATTTAGCCTAAGGTAAATGCACCCTGTTTATAAGCCATGTTTATAATATATCCATTAATCGTATTTAAATATTGGCACAGCAAATCTGCAGGCACATAATTATTTGACTTACACAAGCTTCCTAATATGGCTCACTGCAATGTGGGAAGTAACTAAAATTTTCTCTTTGAAGCTGCAATCTGATCTAGAGGCAGAATTCCTAATTCCTTCACCTACTTCCAATTTTCTGATCTGTGTTCCTTGTTTTGCAATGTCACTACCGCCACTAATATATTATGGGGACAAGGAGCAATATTTTGCTGTCTTGAATTTCGAAAGCCTAGTACAAATCAATTAGACAGGCCAAATCGATTATCTTCCGTTTGATTTCTTAAAAATTCTCGTAACATTCTAATGGGTTTTGTTGTTGTTGCTTAGGGAGTTGGAAGAACGCAGTATGGTTTACAAACCAGTTTGTTCAGGAAACCACGATTGGGTAAGCGTTGCAAAAATACAGTTCTGAATGTTCCCCCCTACTTAAATCCTCCGTCTATTTTATTTTTATTTTTTATTTTGGTCCAGCAAAGCAATTTTACATTCATTTCGAACTAATTGGCGCGACTCCCCAGAAAAACGCCGCTCAGATCGCGGAGGATGGTCGCAGAACCGGTTAAGAAAGGTTTGACAGTCCGACCATTTCAGACTACATTTCCCAGGACACACTGCGTCTTCTGCGGAACGGGTAGTTGGAGCCATTCCGGGTCAATCTAGCATGGCTTCGTTTGCAATAAGCAGCTGCGTTAGAAGCGGGAGGGCGGCTTTGTTGCTTCCAAGGTGTCTGCTAAGATTGAGGGGCTTTTGCGAAGGCCCGGGTGCAGGTGAGTGTTGGCGGGGGCATCAGGTAGAGTGGCCGTTTCTTAGAGGTACGGACAGCGGAGTAGAGGAGAGTACTCCGAGGGAAGCAACCTTATTGAAAGGATACGAACAAACTATGGTTGTGGGATAGACGCTCGTCCTTTCCTCTCCGCTCGAATTCATGGATTTCATGCTTTGCCTGATTCAGGCTGCAAGATCCAAAAGACCATTAAGTAGCAGCAAGGAGATACCGTAAACTTTGCTGTCATTGCTCACCAGATTTTTGCAACCCCATCTAAGTTGCTAAGTTCAGGCATCCACAACTCCTATCGGCTTCCTGGAAATCATCTGGACCGGTCCTATGTGAGCAGCAAAAGTTTAAATTGTGATGATGACACAAAGCAAAAGAAAACAAGTCATCAGGATTTTGGCAGCTCAATGTGAGTCCTCCTGGGTTACAGGAATTGAAGCACATGATCCTTGGAAGGCATCAGACTGGAGAAAGTGTTCATTTGCCAAGCTGAAATGATTTCTTTCAAAACCAATATGCCTTAAAGCCTTATTCATCTCAATGGGATCAAGTGTCAGTTCATTGGGTTTATCCTTTTTGATCTCATTGCTAAGTTGGCAGTTCAATTGATATCTGTGGGAAATATTTTTTGTGATTTTTACTGGAACATCTGACTTTATGATAGTAGGATGTAAAAGTGTAAAAACTAACAGCAAAGACAGGAAGCTGCTTCCTCAGGCTATGTTTATCCATCATAATAAATACTATGTTGATTATTTTGTATGTGAGTGGCTCTCCTGGGTCTCAGACCAAAAGAGAAGGCTTAACTGAAATCTTAATGAAAAAAAATGCAGTTTTGCTCAGCTGGATTTACTAATGTATTTATAAGTGTAGTGCAAAAGGACAATAGACCTAAATTCTGTCATCTCATGTTATGGTCATCTAGTCATCAGTATTAACTCTGAGCAATTTGCTCCTACAGTCCATGAGCCTGAAGTCTGATCAGATTTTAGTTCCCAAAGACGCGTTTCTTTTGCTTTATATGTAATTCTCTATTTACAACTACAATTGGGGCCTGAATTTCTGATACTAAGCAAGGCAGTTGTTAAGCAAATTGCACCTGATTTTATAACCTTTTTTTCCACAGCACTTAATCATTTGGGCATTAAGTGAATCAGACTTTCTCCGTTAACTTTACTTGTTGGAACTGGCTGAGAAGGTTGCAAATGATGACCAAATGATTCTTGGATGCTGCCAAATGCTTGAAATTTTTTATCGTTTGATCATGGTGATGCTGTGATAGTTGTAAGCACAAAGACCTATTGTAAGCCAATATTTTTGATACTATTGTAACTTTGAACGGTTACTAAATGATTGTAAATTGAGGACTAAAATAAAGTAGAATAGTATTCTGTGACTACTAACAAATGGGTAACAGCCACATGTGTGATATAGTGATTTACTTTATATTTTACTGTTTATAAATCTAAGCCATTTTGATTCATGTCTCCTTGGATAGATTAAGGGAATAATTACTTTGTTAATAGTATCCTGGACTTGAACACTTCTTCAATCAAGATTAAATATCTGTGTGAAATCCCTTTCATACTATTTATTTGCTGTACAGAATTAACTTAAGAGCCTTGAAATATGAAATCTCCATTCTTGTGCCCTTCAGCTGTGAGGGAGCTGCAACTTCCAAGCCAGCACCTGTTTGGGATTGACTTATATCCTTGGAAAGCACCCTAAGAACCACAGATTATATAGTGTCATCTCCAGGTGGATGGAAAACTCTACCGCAATAGCTCTGCTATTGTCACTTTGATGGGGAAGATAAGAGAGAGGGTATGCCTGGTGATACTTTATATCTCCCAAGATAACACTAGAATGGGACAGAATGGGAAATAATGCATAATAGTGAGGTGGAAAATATAAATTAAGCAATACAAAGTGTCTGCATCTTCTCCTGCCTTTCCAGAATGAACCTTGCAAGCCATGCATTTCTGTTTGTCCCCCATGGCTTCTTGCCTTTTATTCACAGTATGATTCCTCGACCCATAAACAACCTATCACTGTAGTACAATTATGATACATATATTTATTTGTGCTTAACCCCAGTTGCATATAAGATTTTAACTGTTGATTAACTTAATTTTTTTAAAAAAAGCCATGATATAATTTAATGTTTTACTGTTGTGTTCTAGCATTTATGTATTTTGTGTGAACAACTTGTTTTACAGAAGAAACCAAAACTGATGTTCCAAAGCCTTGTTTCATGGATGAAAAAGTTCAGAACTTGCTTTCCAAGATGACAGGGATGGATTTGCAGAAGATTTTCAAGGCAAGAAAACAAGAGCTTAATCCTCCTGTATACAAGGTCATGACAGAATCCCAGCTGGAAGAGGTATTTCAACTGTTCTATGACCATAAATAGAAGATATGTTGATTTGTTTCTATGTGATTACTTACGTGATTTTTTTCCCCTTAGGCTTCAGAACAAGCTGTTAAGATGGCTAAAAAGTATCTCAAAATGCCGCCTGTACTGAATGTACGGGAACCAATTGATGATGTATTAGCTGAAGACAGGATAATTGATGGATCTGAGCCTTATAAATATGTTTTTACTGATTTAACATATGACATCCCACACAATGTAAGTCTTTTAGATACCCATGGCAATAACACTGAAATGATGTATACCTTAATTCTATTTTCTGTTTCATTGATAGGCAGTGTTATACACAGAGCAGTAGCTTAATAGCTTATTTTTAAGACTAAATTTCAGTGAATGAGGCTTTTGATATCACTCATGGATTTATAGGAAATCAAAGTTTTTTCCAAGCATGCCAATTTATGACATTATGTTCCCATTGAATGTAAGATTGACAGGTTGAGCCATACTTTTTAGATGAGTTCTTTCATTCTTTTTTTTCGTTTTCTCAGACCTGAATTGCCTGTTATTTTTTCTTTGCAACATTCTGGAAGAAATCAAATGCAATGAACATTTAGAATCCCTCTCTGCAGTAAATTATCTATGTCTCTTGTACAGTTAGCTTTAAAATGGACTAAAGTGGTCCTCGAGTTACGACCACAATGAAGCCCATTTCTGTTGCTAGACCTTTAATGAATTTTGTCCCACTTTGTTACCTTTCTTGTCATAGTTAAGTGAATCACTGAAGTTGTTAATAACATGGTTGATGTTAAGTGATTCAGGCTTCCCTATTGACTTTGCTTGTCAGAAAGTCACAAAAGGTGATCACGTGACCCTGGGCCACTGCTACTGTCATAAATTTGAGTCAGTTGCCAAGCATTTAAATTTTGATCACATGACCATAGGGATACTGCAATGGTCATCAGTGTGAAAAATGTTCATACATAACTGAACAGGCACTAAATGAATTGTTGTAAATCGAGGACTATCTGTAATAATGTTGGCAGAACAGTTTGGAAATGGCTACTGAATTCTACATAAGATCTCTTTGTAACTTATTTATCATTAGTTTTCTAAAAACAAAAATAAGTTGTCATAGAAGAATTGAGCCAGCAAGTTAACTTTCTAAATTTTCCCATTGAAATAACATTAGGATGAGTGAGTCCTTTGACTGGACATATCATGGATATAATCTCATTGTATATAAATACAATATATGTTACTCATTCAAATAGCTGCGAGGAATTTCTCAAAAGCCAGTTGATATTTTAAATATATATTAATTCCCGTCTAAAGTGAAAAAATTCATGGCACTTTGATAAAATTGTACCTTACCTATGTTTTCTTTTTCAATTTCAGGAGCGATTCATTGTGGTTCGAGAAACAAATGGAGTATTACGCAAGGCCACTTGGGAAGAACGGGACAGGATGATACAGATCTATTTCCCAAAAGAAGGCCGTAAAATTGTGCCTTCATCTATATTCAGTGATAAAAATAGTGCAATGGTAAATATAAGAACATTAATTTTCCTTTCATAGTCTTTAGACTGACTTAGTTGGCTTATCAAATGCTTGTTATTTGGGAAAAATTGTCTAGCATTATCTTTTAAATTATTAGGCACCTAACTCCACCTTGTTAAACCATAATTTAGCATGTAAGTATGAATACGGGGAAACGTTCCCTCTCAGTCTTGTGTTCTAGTTTAACTGGACTAAAAATAAGTTGAAGTCTATTTAAGGTTTTGATTAGTAAGTTGATATTAAAACTACAGGTATGTAGCGTTAATACCGGAATACTAATGATTCTCTGGTGGAATTAGGAAAGTTTACCTTCATTTGAACACTTGATTTACTTACCCGAATAGCTTTTATTCCTGTAATCTTACTGCAGAACTGGGCTAAGCATTTTAACAGCTTTATGGAAAATTTAAACGAAGGTTTTTGACATGAAATGCTACAATGTTTCTTGTTTTAGACTATGTTTCTTCAGGACCGACATGAAGAACTCCTTGATCGCTGCCTTCTGCAGTTTGAGCCAGATTCAGCGGACTATATCAGAGTGAGTTATCAGTATTGCTCAGTGGAGAGGTAGAACTTAGGAATTGCTCATCAAAGTACTGTAGAGTAGAAGAAAATTCATGAACTCTTTAGCACTGTAGTGGATCTGAACTTCATTGAAACATTGTTAATTCTGGCTACACTATTTTTATGTATTTTATATCCTGTGAGAGTCCAACAACTCCTGATAACTTTAGACCGTGTAGAAACATTTGGTTTATAGGGAAGGTATATACATTAAGATTGTACTAAGAGGTGTGGTGGCAAAACACTGAGGAATCCTGGTAGTAAGAGTTATGATCATTAACATTAGAAAACATGAGTGGCCTGCAATTCATTTGCTGTAACTGTGGTTATTACTGACCTCCTGAAGTATGCTTTGCAAATCAGAAAGACAGGAGTTCAATATTTTCAGTAAGTACATAATACAGTATAAATTTTGATGACACTTGTTCAACCAGCTCATTCATGGCCTAAGATGAGAGCACAAATTGCCTTGCAGTACATTTCTGGAAACAAATGCATTATGATTTGTAAATATGCTTAAATATCTGAACAGATTCATCATGAGACATACGAGGATATTGATAAAAATGGAAAATATGATCTGCTGCGTTCAACAAAATATTTTGGTGGGATGGTCTGGTATCTTGTAAGTAGAAAGAAAACAGAAGGATTGCTGCTGGACATGATTCAAAGAAATTTGTAAGTACTTTTGTAAGCCAATGTTTCTGTATGAAAGGAATTCACTGAACTATTTCATTTGGCATTATTGTATTAAAAATGACCCATGTTATTCATGTTATCTATTCAAATTGAAAGCTAAGCTGATTAGTATTTTTTGGAAGTTTCCCAAGAAATTCCACTGCTCTGGGCTAGACTGTGAAGTTTTTTCTTTTGGTTGACATTGGCAGTCTCTTCTATACAGCTGCTGAAAAACTGATTTCTGTATAATCCCTAGGAGTTGAATTTCAGTTGAGAGCATATTATGTCTGTAGAAAAAAATGTACTTCATAATTTTAATTAGAATTTTATTGCTCTTTAATTTTTTCTTGCTACTGTTACAACTATTTCATAAATAATTACCTGTTTATGTTGTTTATGTTGTATCTTAGTTCTTAAGAACTGGATTTAAAATGTAACTTTAGTTACAGACAAGCTCATTTTTTAACTAAAGTGTGCTATATAGTAGTGGCTTATTTAAAATTCATCAATATTCCTTTCACTGTATGCTAGTAACATTAAGCCACTTCCCACATTCTTAATTATCAAAATGTTCAAATTAAATATATGAAACTATCTGGGAGTTGTTACAAATTAATTTCTGAATTTCAGGTTTGAAGATGCTATAAGTTTAATTAGCCTTTATCATATGCTCCATCCTGACTGTGAATCAGCAAGAGAGGCACAAGAACAAGATATCAAAGGGATAGATTTAATTAAGGTAGTATATACTTTTTATGAATGTAAAAAAGTTGAAAAAGCATACATCAGCATCCGCTGGCAGTCACAACATTGCATCTTCCTAGTGGCTTTGGAAATAAATGCAGTTTATTCATATTCAGAATTTTTTCAATTTTGTGTAATTCTTTTCAGCCCTAATAGCTGTCAAATACTTATTAGAAGTTTAGTCACATAAATTCACCATTTGCGTATGAGTGCAGGATGTTATTTTCAAAATCATATTGGATACTTGATGATTGTTTTAATTTTTTTACAGGCATTTGCAAAGGCAGAAACATCAAGAGCTAGCTACATTGAACTTATCCTACAGGCTTATCAAGCACTTTCGCATAAGTCTGCAGCTTCACAAAATGACTAGATCAATAAAATCATTTAATGTCATGTGGGAAAGGAGTACATATGTACCCTATACAAAATGTACATAAATATCTAAAAGAACATTTTTATACCATGTATGATAAAAATTATTCCACAATTTCCTCAGCATGCCTACTTTTTCTTTCTTTTAAATCAATCTTATTTCTTTATACACCAGAGACTGAGGGAATCTGAAAGAAATTTATTAGAAAATTGTTTGATCATGTGATATGAGCTTGCTACTGTATCTAAGGAGGCCTACATCACAAATGGGGAAATCTATATCTGTACTGTAAAAGACTGACCCTATTTATTTTTCATCTTAAATATAAAAAGAGCCACTTTTCAACAAGAAGACTACACTCAAGCATAACTAGGTGTAAGAATGTGCATCAGCTTAAAAGTTCAGTCAGATATTTCTTCATCCAGAAAAATATCGGTGGTATCAATATCCTCCAATTCCAAGTTATCCAGATCTACATCTAGGTCCAATAAAACCTAAAACAAGACATAAGTAGTTAGGGCAGAAAAAAATCTGTTATCTTAGCAAAAAAAAAAAAGTAGACCATTTTGCAAGTTGTAATGGTCACCTGAGTAATGCAAATTGGTGTGGAGCCTTCTTGGCTGCAGGATGTTTTCTATCTTGTGTCACAGGGCAGAAAACATCTTGCAACCAAGGCTCCACACTTATTTGCCCTACTCAGATGACCCTGAGGACACAGATAAACCTCCAAGTCGCCTCAACTACTCTCTAAAAGAATACAAATGACCAGCTCTCTGCAAGGAATATGAATCCTTCCATTCCCCACCCTCTAGACAGCTGAAGAAGCTTCTTAGATGAAAAGCAAAACATCTTCAAAGAAAAAAGTGCAGTTGCCTCCTGAAAAAGCACCTTTGGGACTTAAAAGTGTTAACTTGTTAGAATAAGTATACAATCCTTATTCAAGAGTCACAATTAGTTTTATAGTTATATATAAGTAGGTGGAAGGGATTGGTATTGCTATTACCACAGAATCAGTATCGGAATTAACAGTGCAGTAGTACATATAGTAATAAAAAGCTTGTAAAAGAAACCCCAGTCTATCATGCTTGGGATACAAAAAATAATTCCTAATAAATTAAGATAATAAAGCCATTTTAGTAAAAAAAATATTTTGAACTACAATTATTGAAGTTTTTAATCATGTTGGCTCAATGCTGAAACTCATTAAGCTGTTGATATGATTAGCCATATTCACAATTTATTTCTTAGGAACAAATTGGAAAACAAATGTTTTAGAAAAAAACACTAATTAAAAACAATATATACTTTATTAGTGAGTTTCATACCTAAAGCTGATTAAAACCATTAATGAGGAAGATAGTACTTAAAATGTAAGAGGAAGATATTATGCTAGAAGTCAATAATTGTAGCTACATGCTAGGACCTACATTTGAACACAATGAAGTTAGCCTGTATTTAAAAATAATATCTTAATTTCCACTGCTCTTTGAAGGCAGTTAATTAGTATTTTAGAAAGTAATGCAAAAAACTGATATAAGTGTCCTAAGGCAAAAAACTGATGTATTAATGTAAATTGAGGGACAACTTACATGAAAGAAAGTTTACTTGCTTACAGTCAATGTATGCTACGACTTGGCTCTACATAGCTTACAAAACAAATTTAATTTTGACACTATCATATAGAAACTTGAAACAAGGAAATTGCAGGTGTGTAGTAGATTAGAACTTCCAAAGTGCTAATTCTTTTCTTGAGTAAATTTACCTTTTCATCTTTGATCTCCTCTGAAACCTTTCTAGCAACTGGAGGCATTATTAGAGGCCTAGGAGATGGGACTGATTCATCTTCTGGTTCCTTATAAAGAGAAGAAAGCACCCACTTATAATAAATAAATAATGTATACCAATCAATATTTTACTGACACATTTTTTCCATTACTTATGGCTATCTACCAGAGACATTCTGTTCTCCTAACATAAACTGAACTTAGTGAAACCTCAATTCTTTAGGCCATCCATTCAGTGGACTTTAGAAGTACCAGATAAAAATTTACTTTGTCACCTTGTTATTTCTAAAGTAATCTGAACAATTTGTGTTACTACTTTTTAAAGATTTATCCCACCCTTATTACAGGTGGCACATAGAGCCATTTGTGCGGGCACATGAGCCCCAGCCAAACTTACCTGCACTACGCATGTGCATGCCTCCCAGCTGATTTTTGGCCCGTTTGAGGCTGTTTTCACTTCCCTGGAAGCTCGAAGGAAGCCTCTGTAGCCTTGGGGGGCCAAAAAACTGGCCTTCCAGAAACACTGGCAGTGCCGAAATGGATCTGTTTTCAGCCTTTCAAGGCTCCAGAGGCTTCCCTCGAACTTCTGGGAGGGCAAAAACAGCCTCCCCCAAGCTCCAGAGGTCCTCCAGAGGCTGAAAACGGGCACTTCTGGTATTTCTGGAAGGCCCATTTTTCGGTCTCCCGGGGCTTCCTTCGAGCTTCGGGAGGGCAAAAACGGCTTCAAACAGCCGAAAATCAGCTGGGAGGCATGCATATGCGCAGTGTAGGTAAGGGGGTGGGGGTGTTATGTGTGCATGGCGGGGGGGCAGGGCACATTGCATTGTGGGTGCTGGCATGTGTGTACATGCGCTATTGCATGTGCGCAAGCTTTCAGCACGCCAGAACAAAAAGGTTCGCCACCAGTGCACTATACCAAACCGGCTCATTGTTATGTTATCCATCTACTTTGCATCAATTGTACTCACCATCTAGATCAGGGATGTCAAACTTGAGGCCTGCAGGCGGGATGCATCACATGCTGGCCCTGCCCGGTTTAGCGAAGGAGAAAAAAGTCCCAATATGTCCTTTGTCGATGCAAATTTGACACCCCTGATCTAGATGCTTTTCAATCCATATGGGATAAACACAGCAGTGATTGCTCTTATAGATCATCACTGTTGTGACCTGTATGGGGAAGTTTTGTGCCTGGACCATCTGTGATAATCAAAAACACTCGTCATAGCAGTTCTGTTCTTTTCTAAGTAGATGGGTCTAGCTAAGGCAAGATAAGAATTTGTTCTAGTGAGAAATTTCAGGACTTTTTTTTTTCTTCCTCCAACTTTTGTTGGCTCTTTTGAATCTGTTAAAATAGACTATGGAAAAAGACATTAGCTAGTACGTTTATAGTGCAATATCAAGTATTTTATTTATTTTTAAATATACAAAACTTTCAAGCTGTAACCAGAATGTATTGTTTTTCATACATTGTCTTCATGGCGTGAAATACATTTTGTACTAAGTTTAGTTTCCTTTAATCTCATTTTTTTGGCCTCCAAAGTTTATTAAAATCTGATTTTTTTCCACAGAGCATTCCAATGATCATTTTTTTCTACACTAGAACTTTTAAAATCTTCACATTAAGTAGTTAATGTTGGACTGTGAATTTATCATTTTGAGTTGATACGAATAGCCAAAATATTTCAAAATAAAACAATTCTAAGGAAAATAAATGAAAAAAGGCACACTTGCCTATCAAATACTATCTTCTGCATTCTACAATGCTGTATAAATAAATAAAATCATCTATATAAATCCATAAAAATGGATTTTCAAAAACTCTGAAATGCTATAAAGAATTTATTTGTACTAGGGACTGGCGTTATTTTCTGCAGTGCGATGCTATTTTGAGGTCCATACCAAAAAGGGTGAGACCATTTATCATGTACTTTTTCCATATTTTTTTTCTCTTAACAATTTTTTTTCCTACTAGAAAACTAGAATGATCACTTATCAGAGGTCTGAATTACATAACTGGAAAAGGATTTATAAATCATGCAATGCTTCACAAAAATATTTATCATAAAAGCCTTTTTCTTGGGGTGGGTGGGTAGGGGGGATATTTGTCTAGCCCTTCTTTCCTTGGTGCACTCTAAAATGTGTGATTTCCTCAAATGTATTAATACTAACCTCTGATACTTTGTTTTGCACTGTGAAATCTATGGTTTCTTGCATGATATTTCTTTCTTCATTTGGCTAAAAAACACAACAAAAATAAATAATGAATCAGCAGTACTTCACTGACTCTCGACTGCTAAATTCCAAAACTGTTGGTAACTTGCATCAACTTACAGTAACTAGAGGGTATTCACTGGCTGGCCGTGATATGGTTTGGGAATTTTTTATGTATTCTTCAGCAACAAACGCTTCCTTCAATCCAGGAAACAAATTTTCATACTCTGTGGGATCAGCTAGGGATTCAGCAGCTTTCTGGTTGATTTTAGAAAGATTTTCTCTCCATAGTTTTACAACCCTGAAACAGATTACTATTGTAAGAAGCTTAATTTTGAAGAAAATATTTATACTATGTACCATAGATTTCATAGTTCAGTTACCTTGAAACTTGACTTGGCAAATATGTTCGTGCTAAGAAAGCTGCTTCTGGTAATCGTCCAGTTTTAATCAAAAGTTCAAGACAATGGTCAAGCCTACAATGAAACAAGTTCTCTTTTAAAAAATGGGTTTAAATTAGTAATATAACAAAGTGTGAAAAGAAAAGTGTGCCTACAATATTTTTATAGCACTGTAAAAATCTTCAAAACAAACCTATTTACCATTGGTTCAATATGTGTTCCTGACATTGGATCTATGTAACAATAATATTACATGCCTGTGCTTGTTTCCAATTCAATTCCTGACACAATTTAAAATGCAGGTTTAATATATTAAGTACTTTAGGCTTTGGCACCTTGATGCTTGTAGCACTGCCACCTATCATCTGTATAAGCCTGATCTATTAGAGCAAGGAGAGAGAAACTCCAGGTCTATCACTTCTAAGGAATGAGAAGAGCTGAGCATTGATGACAACAGTGTTTTTTAATATGTGGGCCTAGGAACTCTAGGAGTCCCCCATGATTCTCAGTGGTCCACTAAAACAATCTGCCAGCCTATGTAGAAAAAAATAACAGAATATTAAATTGACATTAAATGACTCAGCACTGCATCAATTTAATTTTTAACATAAATATCAAATA